CCCGGGGCGCACCCCCCACCCCCCGGGGGGGATTGGGGGGGGGGTTCAAAAAAAAAAAGGCCGTCTTTGTCCTGGTTTCAATCAGACGGGGGCTCCATCTGGGGTGGGGGGGTGTCAACCGGCAGACACACGTGGATATTTGGGTGGAGAGGCTGAGTGCGACATCCCTGTACGTTCCACCTCACTGCCCCCTTTATTATGGGTTAACAAGAGGCTGTAACTGCCGCAATCAGCCCCCCCCCAACCTCCCCAACACCCACACACACATTAGTTATAAACACACATGCACAGACCGTCATGGCCGTTTGCCCCCCCCCCCTTCCTCCGCGCCTCCCTTCATTTTCTTTTATTTTGTTCTGTTTTGTGAACATCTGAGCGTCTTTTGTCTCAGGCCGACTTTCAAGCGTCTCTTTGTTCAACGCTTAATTGTGTTGTCGCCGGGATCCGTTTGAAATTGCCCGCTTTTCGCAATTTACATCACAATGGCCGCCGCTGTTGGAGCTGCTCATCCTGCCGTCCACTGTCAGCGCCGTTTTATCTTTTCATGCCTGTCTGCACTTAAATTATTATTATTATTATTTCAATAGACATGTTACAGTCATGAAGCCGTTTTACTGTAACGGTCTTCTCTTACGTGTAATTACCAGAAAACTTTGAAGTTTTCCTCCCTTGACTGTTTGCATGATGTCACTGAAATGTTTGTTTTATGGTGCACAACTTTTAAATAACTGGTTACAAGTAACATGTAACATGCGACTCGTTGTCAGTCCCAGAGTTGTGTCACGCCATAGAAATGTTTTTACGTCTTTCTTTCCTGAAGCCAATTGCAGTTTATGGTCCGTGTATTTTGTTGCAACTCTTCCATTTGAACAAGTCGTTTTAATTCTTGGCATCCACATCATCTTGTCGTTTTAATTCTTGGCATCCACATCAGACACTGACGTGTGTCTGGACGAGATGAAGGTGTTAATTTATTTCTAATAGTGAGGTAGACGCCAACTCTTGTCCCACGGCTGTTGTTTGTAGGCCTGTACTAAGTCACTTGTCCTTGTCCAGTTTTACTGACTTGGCTTATTATAACATAGACTACGGGGAAGGTGATCTTTTTTTCTTGCGTCTGCGTTCACGTTACATTTTCTGGCCATACCAACAGGATAAAATGTCAGTGTTAACAGTGGGAAGTCCGTCTTAAATTCCAGCTAAAGGTTTGTCCATTCACAAAGAAGGGACAAAGACGGTGGCTGTGAGACAGGTTTACTTTACTCTGCTGGAGTTCAGCAGTTGTCAGTTCACCGTTTCCAAGGTCCCGGACGTTATTCTGACAGCAGCTGACGCATAAATAATCCGTCGCCGCGTCTCCGACAACCGCGTGAGAAAACTGCCATGGAAATAGTATTAATTTCACGACTGAAATCTAAACGCGAGGTTCCACCAAATCTCAGATTGTTGAGGCAACACAGGCAGAGACATAACAAATCTGCAGGCAGCAAACTCAGAGGCACCCACCCTCAATCACATCCCTGCTCTGCTTCCCCCCCCTGCCACTTTTCAACAGCATGCCAACCAGACAGCTTCCACCCCAACGCCCAGTCTGCCCCGGCTTCTCACGTACACCGACCTGCCGCCGGCCGGCTGATGTGGAGGAGCGTCACCTGACTGATGCCAAAGTAGAATTAGTGCATTCTTTAGGGTTTTGGAGCTTAAATGTGTTTTCACATTATTACCTGATGACCATCACGGCGCACATACCTCATCGGCCGACATCTGTGAGTGTAAAATGACAAGGGACTCGAGTCATACTAACCACAGGTCGTCGCGTTCCCTGGTAAGACAGAAAAAAAAAATCATAGCGGCTTGTTAATCCCATTTGGAAACTATTTGAGGAACGTAAAGAGTACCTGCGTGATTCTACCAGCGGTCTTTTAATGATACAGTTGGGAAATTCCTGTCATTCCTGTGGAAAAAAAAACAAAACAAAACAAAACACAAAAATAGTAGAATATTTTTCCAACCAGGTGACATTTATTGACAAGTTGTGAGCTGTAGTACATGTAGTAACAGTTGGTGTATGTGTGTGTCAGTAAGAGTTGACTATAGGAGTACATTTGATAAACTGGAAAGCTGCACACAAAACTGAAAAATAAGAATTAACTGCTACAAAAAAAACAGGCTGTGATTATTCACACGACCCAATCTGGGTTAAGAAATAAAATTAAAAAAATTACGAAATTAAGACCAGTAAAGATGTGTGCAAATCAGAGGCAAATATACAAACACAAAAGACTTCTGTGACAGGTATTTAAGTCTTATATCTACAAAGTTAACTACCTAGTTCTTCTTTGTTGAAATAAAAAAAACAAAACAAAAAAACATCACTAAAGTAAGCTAGTCTGCTTTTGGCAAATATTAAGGTAGAAACAGGTGATTATTTTTAACACAGCTTATTAAGAGTAATCACGCTGTTTCAGGAAGTATTCCGAAATAAAAGATATTGTGAAAAAAAAAAAAATCACACGTTAAAAAAAATTGAAACAAAAAGACAAAAACGTTACCTTTCCTTTGACAATTACAGGCAAAACTATACAATACCCTGAGACGAACAAAAACAACAACTGATAAGTCATAGTATGAAATCTTCAAACCGTTCGGTATCTTCTTCAGCCATAATGGGTCACATTCTCTCCTGCCACTTTAAGTGGAGCAGGAAAATACAAATTTAGCTTCACCAAAATTGAGGGAAGCCCAAGTCCAACGTCTAAAAATACAGACAGGAAAATCACCCCCCCTCCTCCCTCCTCCTCCTCGTCCCCCTAAACTTCCTGTTCTGCTTCTCCATCCACTTGGCAGAGCAAAGGTCTAATTCAGTCCATCTGCAATCCAAATAAATTACACCTGAGTAAAAGCCCAGTGTCAGGAGGAGAGAAGAACCACAACAGAAGGAGAGGACGGCCCGTGTCAGCCGGCTGTGAAACAACACGTCGGCGAGGAGACAGTGAGACGTCCTCTCGTATTCTGATGAGGTGGTAATCTGCTGCTGAGATGGTACACGCGTAATGACGGAGTGAGCGGGAAAGAGCGGCGTTAGAGGCCGCGCGGCCTCAGTAGCTTATTTCAACCGTGTGGTGGAAAGTCAATAATCCTCAGCAGATGCCTGGTGGAGAGACACACACACAGAGAGAGAGAGCGTGTGCTGTTAATTCTGTTTCCTATAACATGGCAACCATCACCAGCAGCTCAGGCTGGAGGCGACATGGGAAAGTTACACAAGGAGCGAGGAGTAAACAGATCAGGTGGAGAGAGAGAGAGAGGGAGAACAGGCGCTTCAAGTCTCTGGGCCGTTTCCAGGATATGGGCCTCAACTCCACAGCAGATGGAGCTGATGTGAGTCGAGGCTGGATGGAGCAGACACAAACTTCTTCTTCCTCCTCCTCCTCCTCCTCCCACTGCAGACAACGAGGAGAGGTGTCTACATACCAGACACTATGGTTGATCTGTGGAAGACAGACACAGAGAGATTAATGTTGAGGTCTTGTGAACTCAGAGCAGAGGCTACTGTTGTATGAGGAATGACCACATGACCACGAGAGCGAAGGCCCGGACATTCTCAGGGATCAGGGAGGAATGCAGGGACTGTGAAGCTACACGTCAGCTTATCAAATGTTTAAAAAAAAACAAAACATCAGGCTTAGCCACACAGTGTGAATATAAAATCCTCAGGATGGGTGTTATTTAACCCAAGTCCCTCAGGCATGTGGGATTAGGCTGCTGCCCAGGACATCTACGTTACTGTAGGTACGAAAAGTTCTGAGGCTGGTCAGAGAGTAAGACCCAACTCTCTGACATTAACACAAATTATGATTGACTATTATGCAAAAAAAAATACATATATACATATGTACATACATACTGTATGTACATATATACACACACATACTGTATATATTCATATATACACATGTGTATATATGTATATTGTATGTACATATATACACACACATACTGTATATATTCATATATACACATGTGTATATATGTATATATACACGCGTGTATATATACATGCGTATATATATACGCATGTGTATATATAAATATATACACATGTATATATACACATATATATACACACGTATATATACATAAACACACACGTATATATACATAAACACACATGTATATATACATAAACACACACGTATATATACATAAACACACATGTATATATACATAAACACACACGTATATATACATAAACACACACGTATATACACATATATGCATGTACATATACACATATATGCATGTACATATACACATAAATGCATGTACATATACACATATATGCATGCACATATACAAATACAGTATATGTATGTACATATATACACGTACATATATACATACATGTACACACATATACCATACAAATACAGTATATATATATACATGTACACACATATATACATATAGACATATATACTATATGTATACATATATACATATACACAGATGGGAGTTCTGTTAGGGTTAGTGCAGCAGAAGAAGAAACAGTTCCTGTTCAGTCCCAATCATTAGCCGGAGACAATAAAGTCTTTAACATCAACCACATAGATGTCCTTAAAATACTGCACGCTTAATCACAAGTTAAACACACACACACACAGCTGTGTCAATAGTACAGTGAGTCGACAGACACACACACACAGCTGTGTCAATAGTACTTTACCTACTTTTGCATCTGTTTGTGTACTCTCTCTCTCTCTCTCTCTCTCTCTCTTTGCCTCTAAAGCGCTACATTAATAAGCAATATAATCCATTTGTTCTCTTCTACCATGTAAGAAAATGTCAAGTTAAAAAAAGCTGAAGCCTTTTTCTCTCTACTTTAGTTACCGGTTGAAACTGAAAACCAAAACTGGAACCACATTAAATCCATCCATGATAACATTCCTCTTCCCTGAATCTCATCTCTGGAAACAGATCCTGCTCCGAGGGAGCGATGCAGCACTCTAATCCCCAAAATTATTTTTACATCATGAGGTTTTTACTTATGGTTCAAATTCCCGCATGTGTTAATCACTTTTCTTTTAACTACAAACACTGGGATGAGTTTTTGGAGTCTCTCATTTCCAGCGACCTCAGATACACGAGCGTCTAATTTTCCTCCCCCGCTGTTATGAAGGAATGCTGCGCTGCTTATTCGAAGCGGTTGGAGAGAAGCCTAAACACCATGTTTACACGTTTAACTTTGCATTGTGATGATAACTCAGCTCTGTCACAGGAGATGGTGTGTGTGTGTGTGTGTGTGTGTATACACTGGGGGGCTTGTTGTTGAAATAACCCAGTGAGTTTTGCATTTCCATGACTAGAATAGTCTGTAGATAAAAAGAATTGCTGCGCTCCTCGCTTCGTTTGTGTTGCTGGTTTGCACATGTGACCTGGGGCACAACAGTCAGACACGCTCACTGGAAAAACAACAACAACAACAACAACAACAACAACAACAGAGTGACAAAAATAGGGTTTCATCCAGTAGGAAACTGCACACCAAACCAACAAATAAAACAGTTTGGTGACATAAATATTAATCTGTTTTTACTTTAATTACTGTGGTTTGCATTACTAAAAAAATGTCCAACCTAATTGTCCTACTGTCGTTGGGTTCGATTCCCAGAGGAACAACATATCTGATGCCAACAACACAACAATTCCTCAATTTTGTTGTTACAATGACACTAAAGACTATTCTATTCTTTTCTACTGGTGTAAAAGCTCTGCACACTTTCTGTCCACCTTGAGATGAGAGGCAACATTTCCTGTCATTGACGACAGATTGCTGATCTGTTTTGTTACCTTAAATAGTCCAAGCGGAATAAAGACCGACAGTGATCACGACATCCATCAACATCATCGACAACAGCATGTGTTTTCTCCCATTGCTAAATGATAAGTGACCGTCTTTTCCATTATCACCCATCGTGGCTAATTGTGCGTAAAAATAGAGACGCGTTGGTCAATTGGTTGGCCTTTGTCCATCTTTTTCTTTTTTTTTTCAGGCACAAGTCTGGGTCTGGTCAGCGGCACTGACCACGGTCCCTGCTGAGTAAATGGAGGGGAGGTTGAAACACCCTTCAGTTAAGCAAACCAAACAGATGGACTGAGACCACGCAGGTTCACTCTGTCTTTGTCTGTTTTCACCAGGTCTCCTCCACAGGGAACTAAGGTCAGACTGAGTTTGAAAACGCAAGTCTGTGATCTTTGACCTTCTGCCATTTTTTTAAAATATCACTGACACACACTCACATATATATATATATATACATATATATACATATATACATATATAGACACATATATATACATATATACATATATAGACACATATATATACATATATATACATACATACATATATATACATATATATACATATATGTATATATGTGTGTATATATCACCTGATGACACCTGCACCGTGACATTTATCTACTCTTTGTGTGCCTGTGTCCCCCACTGTCCCCCCCCCCCTTAATCACCCACACAGGACCAAACCAAAAGCCAAGAGTTCTTTCTTCATTTGCCTCCAACGCGGCTCGTGCCGTGTTTACTAATGACCACCCTAGAATTCCAATGTATTGACCACCACTTCAGGCAAAACGGCTCAATTTGCATGAGGTGGCATTGTTTATAAGGGACGAACTGAAAAGTCTCCAGAGTGAGGAAGAGGGTCTTGGTACAGTTGTGGAACACAATGAAGCACATGCACATCGACGACTTCTTCCTAGAACTTCACTTTAGGCCCAGGAACAAAAGGGAGGCTCTGGGGCCAAATTCAGGCCACTTCAGCTCCACTTCAGGGATACTGTTATTCAGATTAATTACCAGGCGGACACACACACACACACAACGTCTCAACCCAGATGAGGCCCCTGTAACTGTACGACAGCTCATCTCTTCACCAGAGTCTAATCAAATTAGTGCGGGTGATTATTCAGCCGTTGTGAGTCTTTTTCGCTCTCTCTGCTTTTCGTTACTTGCCGCGCGTTGAAAAAGACTAATCAAAAGTCCATTAGCTTTATGCAAATTTAAGCAGACGCGCTCAAGGGGGCAGTAATGTCCCAAATTGATTACTCCAGGGAGAAGAAGTGTGTGCATGTGGACGTGACAACTTTAACTGTCTGTGTGTGTGTGTGTGTGTGTGTGTGTGTGGACTGGATGTTGTACACAGATGCTGCAATAAAAGCTTCATTCAGCCTGTGTTCCTGGTGGCCCTCACAGCAAGGCATTAATAAAACATTAGTATTGAGTAACGGGGGGGAGGGGGGAGTTGGGGGGGGGCTCCGTACTCCTCCTCCCTGATCCCACTCTGACCTTTCCCTTTTACAGCAGCTGTCTGGGGACATAGAGGGACCGCCACTGAGCACCACTGTGACCCCTGACCCCTCCAGGTGTACCCTATCACACAGAGCCGTGCCCATCCCATAAGTACTTCTGTTAAAGCTATTAAAATTCAACTGATGATTGTGGGGGTTTTTTTTCTACAAAGAATGGAAGGTTGATGAAGAGGGAGGGTCAGAGAAGCAGGTGGCTGGAATTTAAAAAAAAAAAAGCCTTAATATTTTCAGAGCATTAACTCAGTATAAATGTTTAAGAAATGCTAGTAAAATTAAGTACTTTTTAAGAGTCAAAACTACAACTAAAATCCAAATGATGTAAAAAAGCATTAACTTTTGGTTTATTACTTGCCATCCTGTCATTAAAGGTTTTTTTCCTGAATCACTGGTCAGTTTCTAATGTCAACTAACTGTATGGATATTGTTAAATAATCAACTACATAACAGTAGCTGAAATTCTGACAATAATGGCAGTAACAGAATATTGTCAATAAATACTGTAATAATGCTGCTAATACTGTAAATACTAATGGTAAATGAAGTTTATGAATAAATGATTTTTTTTTCAATGTTTCATGAATTGTACGATGTTATTTACTCCTCCTGTCCAGTAAATACACGGCGTGGTGATGAGACATTAACAAATAGTTTTCCATCAACAGCGGGTTCCGCTTTTGGCCCCGAGGTCTGGGTTTAGTCACATCTGCTGGTAATCCACCAAGCTACAAGCTATGGTAAGTGGTGACAAAGAGAACAGGAAGGCCGGTAATGTGACTACAGGCCACGCAAAATACCAGTACAACTGGACCAGGAGTCTGGACCGGGAGAAACACCATTAACAAATATTTACTAATGGGAACGCAGGCCACACCTTCATTCCTCCCAAATTAGAGTAAGGATGAGTGGCCTTTTAAAGGACGGGCAATGTCAGCAATGTGAACGTCAATGTGTGCGAGTGAAAGAGTGGGTGAGGAATTGTCAGAGAGGGAAAAAAGAAAACAGACATCTGCATAGAACACACACAAAAAAGTGGTTTTACAAATGAGTAAAAACAAAAGCTACTAGTGAATACTTTAGCAGTTGACTGGTGGTTTTCAGAGTCACAATACACAAAAGAAAGACACGCACGCATACACACACACACACTCATTTCTCCTCCCTGATCCCAGCTGTAAGTTGACAGCCTCTGGAGCAGAGTATTTTTAGGCAGGCGTTCGTCTCGGCTGCCAAACAGAGCAAAATATAGCCGTGCTTCTCCTGCTCTTACTCTTCTCGCCTGGTCGTCATCTCATCCTCACCCCCCTCCGTGTTTGTCTACAGACTGTATCTGTGTTGACGACCGTCGACGCAGACCCTCCGCATCAGCAGGCTACAAATGCGGGCTGCTGTAATTAAACACGCTGTGGTCCGCAGCAGGACGGTCGCCACGGTTACTGTGTCAATGGTTTCATGAGGATGTGGCGCTTTGATCTTTCATAACCAGCCTGTGTGTCTCCACCAGGCCAGAAGAACCTTGACTGGCATGGCCTCCTCAGCTGCATCTGAGCCAGCTATATACACTAGACACAAGTCACAAACACACACACACAAATGCACGACTCCTGCTTTTAATTTGTTGTCTCAAAGATTTAACTTTAAAAAGTTCCTTTTAGGCGACATGCAGATCAGTCTCAGATGTGAAGAAAACATTTTTTTGGTCTTTTTAGACCTAACCTAAAACTGTTCACATGGCACAGATGGAGACAGGAAACGCTCATTAAAACAGCCTGGCAAAGATTAAAGGGGAACAAATGCAACGCTGCCAAGAGAAGAAGCTTCAGCTGTCACATGTGCACAGACTTTGAGATGGTTTTAAACATGGAACTGGAGAATAAAATACAACAGTTATACCACATGATAACCACGGACCTCTCTTACTATGAATGCAAACATTCCTTTTAACTGTAATCACGGGTTAGAATATAAACATGCTGATAGACATCAGGCCGGTTGTGATCACTTTGCAATATGGCCTCTTAAACATTCACCACAAAACCATTAATAAAACACGCAGCAGCAGCAAAGTGAGAGCTCAGTAAAATGATATATTCACAACTGTCCACAACTGCATTGGTTTAATAATAAAACAATCAAATCAGACCTAGCAACCAGGCACATCTTTGTGAACGTTAAATTGGAAAAACAAACCTAGCAACCAGGCGTTACGTCTTTGTGAACGTTAAATTGGAAAAACAAACTTCCAACAACATTCCTTCTTTTCTTCTCCAGCAAAAAAACCCTGATAAAACCCTCAGGAAAACTACATTTTAGTTAAGTTGAAACTGTAAAAACAGCAAAACTACATCTTAGTTAAGTTGAAACTGTAAAAACAGCCAACTGTCATGTCTCCAGGCAAGTGAAGGTGAGAAAACTTTCACTCATACGGTATGTAACACTTCTGTCAATCATATTTTCGTATCCCTTCGGGCAGATGGTATTTTCATTTTTCAGATACAACTTCTAAAGTTGTTAGTCTGGGGGGGTAAGTAAGATAAACACTGGATTAAATGTTGTTAAAAGCACTGCGTTTAAACTTTTCTTTTTCAATCCTAATAGTTTTTTATTAAAAGCCTTTTTACTGCATTATCTCTCATTACCACCGCACACTTTAATCATGATAAAACTTGGACACTAATGATGGAAAAAAAAGACAGCTCAGCTACAAACATCTGCTTGAACACCACAAGAGATGACAAGGAGTGAACTGACTCATACTGGTTTACACCTCTAGGCCATCCTTTCCCTTCTACCTCTGCCTTCAGAGCTTTACAAGCACAGACCTGACCCCC